CCACGCTCTTGGTCCTAGAGAGCTGTCTCTTCTCCCCACATTAATTTCCAAATACTTTTTCAACATTGTTGTAAAGTTGTTTCTTTTTTTTTCCCGGTACACGGACCTCTCACTGTTGTGGCCTCTCCCGTTGCGGAGCACAGGCTCCGGACGCGCAGGCTCAGCGGCCATGGCTCACGGGCCCAGCCGCTCCGCGGCATGTGGGATCTTCCAGGACCAGGGCACGAACCCGCGTCCCCTGCATCGGCAGGCGGACTCTCAACCACTGCGCCACCAGGGAAGCCTGTAAAGTTGTTTCTTGACAGCAGGGACTGTGTTTGGTTTGCTGCTCCATACCCAGCATTTAGAGCTTGGCCCAGAGAAGACTTTCAGTAAACATTTGTGGATTGAATGAAAGGCACAGTTACGTGCACAGCAGATTGTGTGCCCTGCTTTTCCACTTGACAGCACCCATGAGACTTTTTCCTTGGACTTAACCTTCATGTTCGTGATTGATGGTCGGAACCGTAATGGATTTCGCCATTCCCCTATGGATGACTTGTAGGTTCTTGTTCTCTTTTCTATCAATGTGGATAAGAAACATTATTTGCCTCTGACTTTCTTGCCATGAGTTGTTTTTTTTTTTTAAACGAAAGGCTTCATTTTTTTTTTAATTAATTTATTTTATTTTTGGCTGCATTGGGTCTTCGTTGCTGCGTGCGGGCTTTCTCTAGTTGCGGCGAGCGGGGGCTACTCTTCGTTGGCCTGCCCAGGCTTCTCATTGCGGTGGCTTCTCTTGTTGAGGAGCACGGGCTCTAGGTGTGTGGGCTCAGTAGTTGTGGCTTGTGGGATTCAGTAGTTGTGGCTCGTGGGCTCAGTAGTTGTGGCGCACGGGCTTAGTTGTTCTGCTTGCCGTGAGTTTTTAATGCCCTTTGAAATGAGGCTTTTGAGCTTTTCTCTTTTGAGAAGAGATTATTTGAGGTTATTTTTATTTATTTATTTTATTTTTTTATTTTTCTCTTTTTGCGGTACGCGGGCCTCTCACTGCCGTGGCCTATCCCGCCGCGAAGCACAGGCTCCGGACGCGCAGGCCCAGCAGCCACGGCTCATGAGCCCAGCCGCTCCGCGGCACGCGGGATCCTCCCGGACCGGGGCACGAACCCGTGTCCCCCGCATCAGCAGGCGGACTCTCAACCAGTGCGCCACCAGGGAAGCCCTGAGGTTATTTTTAAATCAACATTTATTAAGGCTACAAAGCTACAGCCCTGTTTTTCTCTCTATGCTTTTACGTTAGAATTTATAGATTTCATTTTTCTCTTTATAAGTTTAGTAAATTTTGATCTTTCACCCATAAGACAGCCTTTGATCAACTCAAGATGATCAGACTACATGCACCATTTTTAATGATCAGTCCCATATACAACTTAAATCTCCTTATGCATTTTGAACCCTAGTTTTAAGTTTAGTAGATACACTTTTTGTTTTAAGCACCTTAAATATCTGACCAAATAAATAAAACCTTCTCAGTAGATCTAGTAACTTAGAATTGCACATGTAGTGAATCTCAAGTTCTCAAACTTTCCAGACCTTCTACCAGGGAGTGACGTTCGTCGGATGAGGAACTTGGTTTTCTCACTGCTGCACCCTCAGGACCTAGAATAGACCCTGGCAGTCGGTAAACTTGCATAAATGAAGTAATGTTTACAATCTTAGTAAATTTCTTGTGCCTTTTCACTAAAAAAGAAATGTGTAAAACCAGTAACTCAGTTATACTTTTAAACTGGAATCAAGGCTAAAACCTAAGATTAATTTGCCAAAATTTCTTGCGTACTGCACACAACTTAAATGTCAAATACATAGATTATTCTGAAGCTAAACACAAAAATATTAAAATCTAAATCTCCCACAGGCCTTAGAGACACCACTAAGGCAGGAAGGAAGTCATCTCAGGCGAGTCGGGCTTCTCATCTCAGGGACCACGTGGGCTGGGATGAGGGGAGCTGGGGTGCTGCTGACCTGGGGCCCCCTCCACCATCTGACCCGCATGCTGCACCTCCTCTTCCTGTCTCTGCAGACTGAGCCGTCCTGGACCTTCCCGGACTCACCGTCTGCTCTGAGCAGGAAGGCCTTCTCCACCTGGTGGGACTCAGCCAGTCTGTCTGCCTCTGGTTCTTCCCTGACTTGTCAGTCGTCCTTGACTAGATGCTTAGAGATGTTGAAACACCTGCCTGTTAGATTTGGCTCACCTTTCATTTTTTTGTCTGCCTTTCAGGTTGCAACACTAATGCTGTCTTCTTAGCTGAGTTTGAGAAGAGTGTAACTTTTTTTTATGGGTAACTATACATGTGGTCAAATCGCCTTCCAAACCAGTTACACGGTTTGTGAGACCTAGGATTCCTGCAGGGTGCTGGGTTTCACTTTGTCTTTGCTAGCAAAGTGGCGCACTGTTGTTTTAAAGTTAATAATTGCTAGCTGAGAAAGGATGTATAATTTTAAATTTTGTATTTCTTTAATTACTTTTAGTTTTAACGTTTCTGTACATGAAAATTGGAAAGTTGTGTTTTCTTCAAGTCTGGCTGGAACTCTTGAAAGGGTACCAAAGTGACAGTGTCCATAAATGTGTTCTTTTTTAACTGGATGAAACTTGTAGCAATAAAATGGACAAAACCGTGTCTCGCCCTTCAACACCATGGTGTTGTTAAGTCTGTTGGGTTGGCAGTTCTTTGACTTGGATTTTAGAGCCTTGCGTGACGTTAAGAATTGAAGACAGTTGGAGGAAAGGGAACCCGTGTGCACTGTTGCTGGGGATGTAAAGTGGTGCAGCCACTATGGAGAACAGTATGGAGGGTCCTCCAAAAACTAAATATAGAGCTACCATATGATCCTGCAGTCCCACTCCTGGGCGTATATCCGGAGAAAATGAAAACATTGATTCAAATGTTCATAGCAGCACTGTTTCCAGTAGCAAAGATATGGAAGCAACTGAGGTGTCCATCAGCACATGAATGTATAAAGAAGTGGTATATATTTACACAATGGAGTACGACTCAGCCATAAAAAAGAGTGAAATCCTGCCGTTTGCAACAACATGGAGGGACTTGGGGGGTGTTACGTTAGTGAAATAAGTCAGAGAAAGGCAAATACTGTACGTTTCCTTTATACGTGGAATCTAAGAAATAAAATAAACTAGTGACTATAACAAAACAGAAACAGACTCAGAGATATAGAAAACAACCTAGTGGTTACCAGGGGGGAGAGGGAAAGGGCAGGTAGGGGTAGGGGATTATGAGACATAAACTACTAGGTATAAAATAAATAAGATACAAGGATACATTTTACAGCACAGGGAATGTAGCCAATATTTTTTAATAATCATAAATGGAGTATAACCTTTAAAAAAAGAAGTGAGGACACTGTTGTTGAGTTTGAATATAATAGAAGCTTACTTTTCTATGTAATGGGGGAGAGAATTAGGGATTAATTGATTGCTTAGAAATCTCAAGTTAACCTTGGTTTTCATATAATGCCTCAAAGAAGAGCTTTTGCTAAACAAAGATGAGCCTGCTGACCTTTCATCCTTGGGTTGGATGCTTTATTTCCCAGTTAATGGTAGGTTTCCCTTAGTCACTCAGGTTCTGTCTTGGGCCTGCCTTGGCCAGGGCTGCGAGGGCCTGTAGCTGAGTAGCTGAGGTTGCCAGAGGCCTGGACCAGGGCACGCGCTTCCTCCCAAGCCCAGGCAGCTCTGCGGGATGTGTGAGCCTGTGAATTCTGCTGGGGGCTGTTTGCCCGCTTGCAGGTGCCAGGCCGTGTTTCTGCCCCAACATGGAGGACCATTTTGCTGCAGCCTGGAATTGAGCACCTGAGGACTTTGCAGATAGATGGCTGCCGGCGGGCCTGGACCACCCTTTCAAGCGGACGGCGCCATCTGCTGGCAGCTTCTTCCAGGCGCCTTCGGTGTCCTGCGGGAGTGGGACCTTGGCACTCTGTCCCCACCTTTTTACTCAACAAAATGTTAGTCATATGGAGTTGCCTTTTTTTTCTTATTTTTCCACTTCTTGCGTGGTGTTCCACTGTAGAGGAAGTATGTATTTTCAAAGCTTTTGACGCAAATTTCAAATTTTTTCCTTTAGAACGGTTGTACCAAGTTATGTCAGATATTGAAGTTTCAACCAGGTTGGTAGAGAGAAGGACTACACATCTATATGTTTTTAAAATGAAACGTTGACTTGTCCCCACTATTTATTATGGGCATTTTGAAAGCCCCCAGAGTTGGAAGAGTGATCCGCCACTGCCTAGATCCCGCAGCTGTGGGCTCGACCGCAGTGTCATCTCGTGGGGCGGGCGGGCCGGCCGGATGCTGGAAAGTGACCGTGGAGAGTTGGCCCCCAGCCGAGACCCACGTGGCTGTGGCTCTGCCTTCTTGGTCGAGGCCCTTCCAGGGCCTCTGCTGTGCATTTTGTTCAGGTCAGCTGTTGGGAAGCCACTGTCAGGTGGACGCCTGTAGGTGAGCAGCTCGGGCCCCTCCCGGCACTGGGCTCAGGACCGGCTCTGGGTGTCCTCGGCCTGTGTCAGCACCACTCCAGGCTGCTTCGGATTCACACAGGTTCACGTGGCCACGCCCTCGGCGCCTCTCCCCTCCCCCTCTCGGCAGGACACGCCTCTCGAGACCCCTAACGTGATTACCCCTGTAAAGACCCTGTTTCTAAGTAAGGCCCCACTTGCAGGGCCTGGGGGTCAGGACCTGGGCTACTTGGAGGACACGTTTACACCGCTGCACGTGCTGGCCACGCCCTGACGATTACCGGGCTGGTACTGGTGGCCCAGACTCGCTCGTCCAGAATTCCCTCGTGGGTATTGAGAAGCGTCTCAAACCTTCAACGTCCCATCTCTCGCTTTCTCCTCCCAGGCCGCAGACCCCGCTCCCCGCCGTTGGCTCCACCTCGGGACATGCGGCTCTGCTCTGCCGGTGGCTCAGGTGGGAACTGTCGACCCTCCCCGGACCCGCCCCCCTGCCCATCCCGGGCCATCTGCACGCCCTGTGCTCCCATCGGCCCCGACCACACGGCCTCCGCCCTCCTCGGCCCTACAGTCTCTCACCTGCCCTGCACACCGTCAGAGGGACCGTCCCGAGCCGGGAGCCTCAGGGCCCTTCTGGTCAGACTTTCCTGGGGCTTCCCTCCCCCGCCCCAAGAAGGCGCACAGTCTCCACGTGGCCCATGAGTGGGTGTGACCTGCTCCCGTGTCCCCCACTGCCCCCCAACTCTGCTGTCCCACTGCACGTGGCTCCACTGTCCTCCTGTCTGTGGGGGGCACGGGTGGCATCCCCACCTGGTTTCTCTCGTCTCATTTACCTGTGTGCGTGGTGACAGGTGAATGACAGCGTTCCCACCTTTGCATCGCGTGCAGATGTGAGCCGATGCCCAGCGCAGCCTCCCTGAGCTCACCTGTGTCCTTCCTGCCTGAGGTCGGCCTCCCCGGGCTCAGTGTCAGTGCACCTGCCCCGTCACGCAGCCGTGTGACCTGCCAGCTGCGTGCTCACCCTCTGTCGTGTCACCCTGCCTGAGCGCCCCTACGCCCTCCGTGTGCTGCCTGGCCTTCCTCTTCCTTGTGGCCCCAGGAAAGCCGCAGGGCCCAGGACAGTGTCCCGCACGTGTAGACATTACTAGGTGTTTGCTGGGTGAGTGAAGGAATAAACCCAAATGCCTGGAGACGTGATAACGTGTCCGGGCCTGGGGCAAGTGCAGACACGCAATCGCCAGGCAGGTGCGGGGCTGCTGAGTAGGATTTGGCTTATACCGTAGTGTGGAGGATGGCTTTTACTCTCCGTGTGAAGATATGTATTTAAAAAGGTATACGGGTGCTGTGGAATAAGGGACAAGAAATGCTCTGAGTTATTAACCGATGCTTCTCTGCTTTTGTCTTCCCAGACACCGTTTGCTTTTGACTCAAGATGATTTGATGTTTTATAAAGAACTCACTCACCATGATGGCTACACAGACGTTGAGCATAGACAGCTATCAAGATGGGCAACAAGTGAGCACGGGCGCTCTGTCCACATCCTAAGTAGTCAGCCGACCTAGTACTGAAACACGAACAGTGCCCTGTGTATTCGCCAGCTAGTTTCCGTGAGGGTGCAGGTTCAATGTTGAACGTTTGGTGCATTTATTATATCTTGGTGCTCAGAAAGATTAGGGGTAGAATTGTTCAAGTAGTTCCCTAAATGACACCGAGATTGCCAGTAATTTTGAGTCCCCTAAGTCATAGTTTCTTGGGAATTTACCTTTCTAATGTCAGTGTTAGTAAGTATCGTTGCTCTTAAAGGTTGTGGTGATAATCATAGACTCCCGTGTTGCCCAGTTGCTGGCCTGGGCGGGAGCTGTGCGGTTTCGTTCCCCTGCATGTGGGTGGCAGAGGGGACCGTCCGATGGCACGTGGGGTGCAGCTGCGGTGCTGTCTGTACGTCTCCTGCCCCTGCAGGAGACGGTCATGACGCCCGGCTCCCTGCTCAAGGGTTTAGGGACACCCCCCCACAGGCCTGGGGCGCCTCGCCCACCTGTCACTCCCCACTTGGTGAGACTCAGGGGGTGTGTAGGACCTGAGCTGCGACCCTGTCCCCTTCTCAAGTCGGGTCTTTCCTTGATGGACAGTTTTGTTCCATTCCTGGGATGTTTCCTGTTGCAGTGATTTTGGTTTTGTTGATTTAAAAAAATGTTTTAAATGTTTTTGCTTCTTAGAGGTAGGGAACTCTATTTCAGGCTGCTGTCTTCACCAGGAAGTCCTCTGATATTTCCTAGAGATTTTGTTTCTCAAATGCACATCTAACGATGTCCCCGCTGTCCCTGGGCCCTGCGGTGGCTCCTCGTGGACCCCCTGCCCGGAGGGCCCTACGACCTCACAGGCTCTCACCTCTGCCTGCCCCGGGGCCCTGGCTCTGGTTGCCCCTTGGCTCTGCTCCGCTCCGTCCTGCAGGTCTTTGCTTCGCCCCGCTTTCTGCGAGGACCCCCCACCGGCCCTGGTTACCCCCACGGCCTGCTCCCCACCTGCCACCCGCTTCCCGGTCCCTTCCTCTGATCTTTGTTCTCCATCCGTGGCAGTGATCACCTTCTGACACACCCTGTTACGGGTCCGTCTCCCCCAGCTGGTCCCTGCCCTGATGCAGGGGGTCCAGGGCAGGGCTGGGCGCAGGGGGGGAAGGCCTCGCTTGTAACAAACAGCCCGGCACTTCCCGTGCCGTGGAGCACCGCTCGTGAGCGTCCCTTTCAGTGAGGATCTGACCGTCTGCGGCACGGACAGGCCGCATTGCTTAGCCGGTCCGCTGAGGCTGGGCATTTAGATTTCTCTTTTTTCACGATCATTTTTTTATAAGGCTTTTTTTTAATAATACTGTCAGACTTCTCTCCAGAAGGACTGTGTTTGATTGGGCTTTAGTCAGTCACTTTTGTTTGTTTTTTTTTTTTTTTTTGTCTGCACTGGGTCTGGGGTGAGCAGGGTCTACTCTTCGTTGCGGTGCACGGGCTTCTCATTGCGGTGGCTTCTCTTGTTGTGGAGCACGGGCTCTAGGTGTACAGGCCTCAGTAGTTGCAGCACGCGGGCTCAGTAGTTGCAACACGTGGGCTCAGTAGTTGCGGCACGTGGGCTTTAGGTGCGCGGGCTTCAGTAGTTGTGGCACGTGGGCTCAGTAGTTGTGGCTCATGGGCTCAGTAGTTGTGGCTCACAGGCTCAGTAGTTGTGGCGCACGGGCTTAGTTGCTCCACGGCATGTGGGATCTTCCCGGACCAGGACTTGAACCCATGTCCCCTGCACTGGCAGGCGATTCCTAACCACTGCACCACCAGGGAAGTCCCACTCAGTAGTTGTGGCGCACAGGTTTATTTTTTTAAGAGAGAAGCAATTCCCAAGTATGCTGTTCCATCTAAAGGCAGCAGAATGGAAGTAACCTGCTCGCTCTGGCCTGCTGGAGAGTTGAGAACAGGGCCCGAGCCCGGACCTGCAGGGCTGCCCTCTCGGCTGCAGCCCCGAGCACCAGGCTGGGTTCCTGGCAGGATGCAGGCTCTCCCATCTCCGTGGATGAGCTTCCCCCCACCCCACACCCCACCACAGGTTCCCCAACAGGCTGCTTCCCTGAGGGGCGGGGGGTGGCAGTTGTGGGCGGGGCAGGTGCATCCCAGATACCCCAGTCCTGAAGAAGCCGAGGAGAGCGGTGATCTGCTCAGGGATAACAAGAAGTTTACTGTAGCGATTTTGTTTTATTTTTAAACTGAATTCTTTATGTTGAAGGATTTAAATACTTTTCCCCGGATGTTACAAACAACACAGCCAGTTTAAAGCAATTTCAGTGGTAATATCTTTAAGGCTTCCTCTTACGTTTAACACTGTTTCTTTAAACACAGCTGGTCTTTGCTTTCTGGATGCAGTGACTTTCCTTAACATTTTTTTAAAAAATTTTATTACTTTCGGTTGCATTGGGTCTTCGTTGTGGTGTGTGGGCATCTCATTGCGGTGGCTTCTCCTGTTGCGGAGCGCGGGCTCTAGGCGCGCAGGCTTCAGTAGTTGCAGCACGCGGGCCCTAGAGTGTGCAGGCTTCAGTAGTTGTGGCTCGTGGGCTCTAGGGTGCGCGGGCTTCAGTAGTTGTGGCATGTGGGCTCAGTAGTTGTGGCTCGTGGGCTCTAGAGCGCAGGCTCTGTAGTTGTGGTGCACGGGCTTAGTTGCTCCGCGGCATGTGGGATCTTCCCGGACCAGGGCTCGAACCCATGTCCCCTGCATTGGCAGGCAGATTCTTAACCACTGCACCACCAGGGAAGTCCCCGTAACATTTTTATAGCTTGTGTATTCCTGAGTTTAAGGATAGGTAAGGGAGAATTTCAGCCCTGTCACAAATATGGAGCATCTTGGGTTTGAGTTGTTTTTGTGACAAGATAAGAAAGCTTGGATTATTTGTTTATTCTTCTCTTCCTGCAACGTTACTCAGCATGAGGACAGATAACAAGGAGAGGCAGACGAGAAAGACTGCATGTGTACCAGTTCCCTTCAGGGATGTAGAGTTATTACGGTTTTGAAAATCATAAGCATTTCACAGATAGCGGTCCTCTCAATTTTTAAATGTTTTGGAAATTTGACCTTTGTTTTAGCCGTTTAGAAGTACATTAAGTTCAAAGGACTTTGTTGGTAGTATTCTTTCCGTATTATTGCCTGTCATAACCGTCTGGCAGTTTACCATTCCACTGCATTTCTGTTTGAGAATAGAATACAGCAAGTCCCCTGCATACAAACGTGTTCCTTTCCAACAGCAAGTGCGTGTCCAATTTGTTCATAAGTCCAACAAAGTTAGCCTAGGTATCCAACTAACACAATTGGCTATATAGTACTGTACTGTAATAGGTTTATAGTCTGTTTGCATCTTTGAAAGTTCACAACTTGAAGGTTCGTACGTAGGGGACTTACTGTACTTGGTAGCAGCTTATTTTCTTTCTAGTAACAAAAGTTCTCTTCCTCCTTTCACAGATGCAAGTAGTAACAGAGTTAAAAACGGAGCAAGACCCCACCTGCTCTGAACCAGATGTGGAAGGAGTGAGCCCTCCCCCTGTGGGGTCCCAGACCCCGATGGACGCAGACAAGCAGGCCATTTATAGGTAGCAATGCGATGTGAAGCGTGTGGGTGTTCAGAGGAGTAAAGAGAATGGAAAATCTGGTTAAATGGAACGTGAGCTATTAGCCAGACAGAGCAGTGAGGCGTGATGTGATAACTACTGGTGTAAAAGTTTTCTCAGATTACAATGTTATTCCTAATATCTTTTTAAAAAAGTTTTGGAATGTAAATCTACATTTTAGTCAACCTTACAAAAAGCAATCTTCAGGCCCAGATAGTTGTACTGGAGAATTCTACCAAAAAGAAGGAAAAGCAGTAAGTCGACACAGTCTCTTCCAGGAAGTAGAAGAAGAGGGAATGTTTCTGAACTCATTTTATGAATTGAACATCACTCTGATACTAAAGCCAGACAAAGACAATATAAAAAAAGAAACAACTAAAGACTAGTAATCCTCATGACCTTTGGCATAAAAATCATTCATAAAATATTAACAAGTAAAATCCAGTAACGTGTAGAGAGAAGACTATTTAGTGACCAAATGGAGCTCATCCCAGGAATGTGAGACTGGTTCACCATTCAGAGATCAGCCAGTGAGACGCACAACGTGATCATGTCAAGTGATGCAGGAAAGCATTTGACAGAAGTCAACAGCCAGTTATGATTAAAAACTGTCAGTGAAGCAGGAATAGAGGGGAACTTTCTTGGCCTGATGTAGGGAAACTACAAAAGAACCCTGCAGCTCGCATCATACTTAATGGCGGAAGACGGAATGTTTTCCCCCAAGTTTGGGGATAAGGCAGAGATGTCCGCCCTGACTCCTCCTGTTCAGCTCTGTAATGGACGTTTAGCCAGTTCACTGAGGCAAGACAAAGAAAGAAAAGGCATATCAGGTTAGAAAGGAAGAAATAAAGCTGGCTTTATGCAGAACTGACATGATTGTCCACATATAGAAAATCCCAAAGAGTGTACCAAAGAACTTCAGAACTAAATAAGTGAGTTTAATTAGGTCACAGGTTGCAAGGGCAACACACGGAAACCAATCCTATTTCTCTACCAGTAATGTACAATTAGAAACTGAAATTAAAGAGAAAATACCACTTTCGAGAGCTCCAAAAAAATGTAGGTATAATTCTAATAAAGCACATACAGAACCTTTATGTTGAAAACTATAAAATGCCCGTGGAAGCAGTCAAAGGAAACCTAAATGAAGGGCATACCATGTTCATGGATTGGAAGACTCAACATAGTAAAGATGGCATTTCTCCTAAAATTGCTCTATAGCAATTACAATTAACGTTGTAGCAGGATATTTCTGTACATATAGACAAGTTATTTCTAAATTTTATATGGAAGTCAAAAGAACTAGACCAGCTAAAACAATTGTGAAAAGAAGAATAAAGTTGGAAGAATCAGTCTACCTGATCTTCTCAGTGGAGAAAGGTGGAGTTTCCAACAGATTGTCCAAGTTGGAACAATTGGACATCCACATGCAGAGAGAAGATCCTTGACCTAATCTCACATCCTTTACAAAGATCTACTCAAAATGGAGTATAGATCTGAAAGTAAAATTTAAAACTGTCCAACTGGTGTTAACCATACAGTGAAATATTATGCAGCCATAAAAAAGAACGAAAGTACTGTTATATGTTACAACACTGATGAGCCTAGGAAACATCACGCTAAGTGAAAGAAGCCAGACACCAAAGGTCACATAGTATATGACTCCTTTTATATGAAACGTCTAGAATTGGCAAATCTGTAGAGACAGAAAGTAGATTAGTGGTGGCCTGGGGCTGGGGTTTGGTGGAAAATGGAGAGTGACTGCTAACAGTTACAAGGTTTCTCTGGGGGATGAAAATATTATAAAATCGACTGTGGTGATGGTTGCACAACCCTGTGACTATACGAAAATCCGTTGCATTATAAACTGTAAATAGATGAATTGTGTGGCGTGTGAATTATATCTCAGCAAAGCTGTTACATAAAACATTGCACATGTACATACTAAAACATTTTCATGAAAGTGTAGAACACATCTTTTAAATTTTTCCCCCCAGGCATCCGCTGTTTCCACTATTAGCTTTGTTGTTTGAAAAATGTGAGCAGTCCACACAGGGCTCGGAAGGCACAACTTCTGCCAGCTTTGACGTGGACATTGAGAGCTTCGTAAGGAGGCAAGAGAAGGAAGGAAAGCCCTTCTTTTGTGAGGATCCAGAAACTGACAACTTAGTAAGTAACATACATGGTCTTAATTTTTATTTCTTCTAAATTTAATCTGTTCGATAAATTTTAAATTTCTAACTAGAACTTCAGATTGTTTGTGGCTCTGCCGAAGGGGAGAACTGTACAATTCGTGAGATAATTTTCCGTGTGTGACTTGAATGTCGCCAGGTCTCCAGCCTTCTCTGTTGACCCCTTCCTGTAATAATCCAACAGGATGGCTTGAGCCTGCATCCTGAGTGGGCTGGGGGTTCAGTCCCTCCTGTATGTTCAGGAAGGTCCACTGGGGTCGGCGTGCCCTGTGTCTTGCTTCCTGGGAACGTGTCTGGGCCCAGCTTCAGGTGTTGGCTCTTCCCCGATCGTGGACCACAACTTTGTTCTCCAAGACAGCTCTGTCTGGAGGCTGGCACTGGTGGTGGGTGACAGACTGTGGATGACTCGGAGTGGCCTGTGAGCACAGAGCAGGGACGGGCCTATCAAGGGACCGACACCCCTTACGGCCTCCCTTAGGCTTCCTGTCTGAAGCCAGCCTGGCTCACGCGGGTGCCCCACTCCCAGGTCCAGTGCTCCAAAACCTTGGGTTCTCTGTGCTTCCCGACAGCAATGGAGAGTTCGTTGGGCTGACATCACTGCTATGCCCAAGGGGAGTGGCATCCTTCAGCACCGGGCAGCCCTGGCAGCCTGTGTCTGGGGCTGGATTCCCACTAGAGTTGGCCAGCTCCCAGACCAGAGCCCTAGGCCCCTCATCAGCAGGAAAGGGTCTTTGGAAAACTTTTCCCTGAATAAACTGCCTTGGTCTTAGGTGTTACTGTTTTTAATTTTTCATTAATATTCCACCCTTACAGCCAAATAGATTTTATAGGTGAGTTGTCTGACTTTGAGTCTGTCTCCTCGTCTTCGAAATGGGACCAACAGTGCCTGCCTTTTGGGGATGAGGGCCTGATGCTCTCTCTGCCTCCGCATCTCCGTATGCGGCCATCAGCAAGGAGGGAACGGGCGTAGCCAGCATGGGCCAGGCGGGCAGGGACCAGGGCTCTCCTGCCTGGTGCCCTAGCACAGGGCCTAGCAGAGCTTGGTACTTAGTAGTCATTCTCACTACTCGCTGGCTGACTGGTTGATTCCACAGAGATGTGTGAACTGTCACCACCAAGGTCATGGGGAAGGAGCTGAGTCTTAGGTTGCTCGTTCACAGGAAGTGGTGTTTATGGTAATGGTTCATCACTAGTGTCCGTTATCTACTGCTGGGAGACGAATTACCCCCAAATGTAGTGACTTTGTATAAAACCGAAGAACTTTTAGAAAAATTGTAAGAGAAATTCTTTAGGATCTGGGGCTAATCTAGGGGTAGGCATAGTTCTTAGACTTGATGCCCAAAGCAGAGTCCATTAAAGGCAGAGTTGGTAAGTTGAACTTCTTCAACATTAAGAACCACCCGGGAGGTGCGTACGGATTCATCCCCATTTACAGATGAAGGAGCAGTAGCGGGGAGAGGGTGAGTCGCTAGGTGAGGCCAAGGTCGAGGCCCGGCGGCTCCAGAGCTGTGACCGCCTCTGTCCCTGTAGCCACGTGGAGCCGAAACAACAAGCCACAGGTCAGTGGGGCTGGAATGCTTGGTGGTTCTGCGTAACATCTGGTGTCTTTCTCCTCCTGTTACTGGCGGTACAGGTGGCCTTGGCTGGCTCATAACCAAGCTGAGTCATTACCAAGCTCATAACCAAGGAGAGTCGTGTGGTGATAAATGATAACTTACCGTCATGCTCCCTTTTTCTGGTCTGAAAGTCTTCATTTTCTTGCTTCTAGATGGTAAAAGCAATCCAGGTTCTGCGTATTCATCTTCTTGAGCTGGAAAAGGTTAATGAACTCTGCAAAGATTTCTGCAGTCGCTATATTGCTTGTCTAAAAACGAAAATGAACAGTGAAACTCTCCTGAGCGGGGAACCTGGCAGCCCGTACTCCCCTGTCCAGTCCCAGGTATTTACGGCGGGCCCTGTGCTCCTGCTTGGTCCCTGCAGCGTCGGCAAGGGTGAAACGTGCTGATGTCTGAGGCCGCAGCCCTTTCAGATTGTGGGGCTGCCCTCGGCTCTCCTGCTCTGAGGATCCTCTGGGTTTCTGAACGTGGCCTGTGCCGGGAATGTGTTCCCTCAGGCCAGAGAGAGAGCCCACCTGGGCTTCCTGGGTGAAAAAGGGAGGCTTCACTCTGTGTCCTGGATCCTGGACCCCATGTTTCTGGAGGCCAGTGTACCAGTCATTTCTTTCTAATTCTTTTTTTTTTAATGAATTTTTAAGATTGTGGTAAAACACAAATAACACAAAACTTACCATTTTAACCATTTGAAAGTGCAGAGCTCAGTGGCATTAAGCACATTCACATTGTTGTGCAACCATCACCACCGTCCTTTCCAGAACTTTCTCACCTTCCCAACCTGAGACCCTGTCCCCCTGCAACACTGACTCCTCACTCTCCCTCCCCCTCCCCCCGGCCCCTGGACCCCACTATCCTGCTTTCTGTCTCTGTGACCTTGACTAATCTCGGTACCTCATGTAAGGGCAGTCATACCATGTTTGTCCCTTTGTGTTTGGCTTATTTTCCTTAGCATAATGTCCTCAAGTTCATCCATGTTGCAGCACTGTAATATTTAGCCATTCTGAAGGGGTGTAGTGACATTTCATTGTGGCTGTAATTCGCATTTCCCTGATGGCCAGCGGTGTTGACCATCTTTTCATGTGCTTATTTCCCATCTGTGTATCCTCCTTGGTAGAAGGTCTGCTCGTGTCTTTTGTCCATTTTCTAATTGGATTTTTAAAAATGGTTGACCTTTGAGAGTACTCTAGATGCAAGTCCTCCATTGGATATATGGTTTGCCAGTATTTTCTCCAAGTCTCTAGCGTATCTTTCCATCCTCTTAACAGGGTCTTTTGCAGAGCAAACCTTTTTCATTTTGATAAAATCCCATTTATCAAATTTCCTTTTATGAGTCATACTTTCAGTGTCAAGTCGAAGAGCTCTTTGCCTAGCCCTAGGTCCCAAAGATCTTTCTCTTATTTTTTTCCTAAAAATTTTACATTTAAATCCATGGCCCATTTTCAGGTTTGGGTTTTTTTGCCTAAGTTCGTCCATTTGCTCCAGCACCGTTTGTTGAAAGGGCTGTCCTTCCTCCGTGGAATTGCCTTTGCACTATTGTCAAAAACTAGTTGGTCATACTTGTAGGCCCTGTTGCTGTGTTCTCTGTTCTGTCCCATTGATCTGTGTATCTAGACCGTATGGTCTTGATTCCTGTGGCTATATAAGTCTCAAAATCGGGTAGACCGATTCCTCCTACTTTATTATTTTTCAAGATTAGTTTAGTTATTCTAGTTCCTTAGTCTTTCCACATGAATTTTAGAATAATCTTGTCTATATCTGCAAAAAAATGTTACTGAGGTTTTGACAGGAGTTGCATTAAACCTGTGTGTCACCTTGGGGAGAGTTGACACCTTTACTGTGTTGACTCTCCCAGCCCACAGCTGCGGCGCTCTCTCCACTAATTTACTCTTCTGTGATTTCTTTCATCAGTGTTTTCTCGCTTTTGACATAAAATTCCTGCACACGTGGTTTTAGAATTATACCTAAGTATTTCACTCTTTTGCACAATCGTAAATTTATTATATTTTTAACTTCAGAATCCATGCCAATATGTAGAAATCCAGTTGATTTTTGTATCTTTATCTTGTATCCTGGGACCTGGCTGCACTTCCTTATTAGTCCGAGGAGATCCTTTTTGTAGATTCTTTAGGATTTTCTACCTGTTTAGTCTTGTCATCTGCAAATAGGGACAGTTCTGTTTTGTCCCTTCTGATCTCTACACTTTCTGTTTCCTTTTCCTGCCTTACTGCTCTGCTGGAACATCCAGGACTATCTGGAATGGGATTCAGGGGACATCTTTGCCTTCTTCCCGGTGTCGGGGGAATAGTGGTAGGTTTGTTTTTTTTCTAGATGCTCTTTTTCAGGTTGAGGAAGCTCCCTTCTAGTCCTGTTTCTCTGAGAGTGTTTATTATGCTGAATTTTGGCAAATGCTCTCCTGCGTAGAGTGCTGTGCGATTCTTCTTCTCTCGCCTGTGAATGCGGTGGAGTCACATTACTTGATTTCTGGAATATTGGGCAAGCTTTGATTCCTGAAATAAACTCCACTTGGCCCTGGCATGTAATTCTTTTTGTAAAGATTCCTGAATTTTGTTAAGCATTGTTGTGTCTGTATTGAGGGATATTCGTCTGTAGCTATTTTTTTTTTGGTACAGTCTTTGGCTAGGTTTGGTATCAGGATAGTATAAGCTTCATAAAATGAATTGGAGAATGTTCCCTCCTCTTCTGTTTTCTGGAAGAAATATGTAGAATTGGTTAATTGTGTTAATTCTTCTTTAAATGCTTGGTAGAATTCTCTGGTGACACTACCTAGACCTGGAGATTTCTTTTTTGGAATTTTAAAATTACTAATTCAGTTTCCTTATTACTTAAAGGGCTATTCAGATTATCTGTTTCACGTTGGATTTTGTCTAAGACGTCAAATTCACGTGTGTCGAGTGGTTTACAGTAGTATTCCTTTTTCATCTTTTGATATCTTCAGGGTCTGTAGTGATCTCCCCTGTTTCATTCCAGATATCGGTAATTTGTTTTTTTTCTCTTTTTTTCTGTCCGTCTTACTAGAGGTTTGTCACTGTATTGATCTTTGCAAAGAAGCAGCTCTTATTTCATTGATTTTTCTGGTTTTCTGTTTTCAGTTTCATTGATTTCTGCTTTCATCTTTCTTATTTCCTTCCTTCTGCTTGCTCTGGTTCCATTTGCCTCCTCTTTTTCTAGGTTCTTAATGTGGGAGCTTAGAATACTGATTTGGATTGCTTAATTTTTATCCTGACCAAGTTTATGTAGCAAGCTTCACGTAGACCTAGCAAAGCTTATACGTTCAAGTGGATGTGATAGCCCACAGGGTAATTGTCTTTGAAGGCTCTCTACTTAGGCTGTTTAACCGCTCAAGCATCTGGGTGCCTGCTGTGTGCCAGACCCCGTGCTGGATGCCGGGTGCAGAGGTCCGCCCCTCGCCGGCTCCCAGTCCAGCCATCACAGGAAATGGATACATTGGCCCATTTGCATCTGACTTCAGATGGGTAGATTCTCCGACATGGTGTTTACGGACACTTGCATGGAGCCTGCAGTAGGCCAGGCCCAGACCCAGCACCCCACAGACGTGGACACTGGGGGCTCCGGCGTGCTCTGTGCTGTGGGAAGGGCAGGTACAGGCTGTGCCCCCGGGGGGGCTCCCCAGCCTGTGGCATCATCTTTTGAATAGCTCATCCTGTCCAGGAGGCTTTGGTTCTTGGAAAACTCTGAGCCAAGTTGAATGGAGAAGGTGTGTGACTCGATCAGGTGATTTTAGTCTTCCTAGTTGTACCTCCAGGGCTGCAGGGTGTTTAGTATGCGGAGGAGGTGAGAGATCATCTTTTGGAAGCTAAGCTGGAACTAATACCTCACATTTAACACGCAGTCAGTTCGGCACCTCTTGCTTCCAGATACGTCTGTAACGCAAGCCTTACGAAGGCTTGTCCTCTGATGATGCTCTTTGCCTCAAGCGTCTTTCCTTTACTGATGATGCCATTATGCCACGTGTTTTGGAGTTTTAAACATGGGTTTTCTGTCTTCTGATAACATAACCCGTTCGCTGTGTGTTCATGACTTACAGCAGGTTCAAAGCGCCATCACAGGCACTCTCAGCCCCCAAGGAATCGTGGTACCAGCATCCGCTCTGCAGCAGGGGAGCGTCACCATGGCAACAGTGGCAGGTATGACGACAGAAAAAGGGACACTTGCCTCGAGCTTTTGCAGAAAGAAGGCCTTTATATTAGAATGAAAAAGTGCATCAGCGTGGTTTCTAATTAATGCCAGTTCCTGATACAGGAGCGTCAATGTCTAGAGCTCTTTGAATGCCTGGTTCTTGTTCATTCTCAGTAACAAATATTTTATACAAATTGTGTTTCCCTCTCAAAAAATATTGGCAGGAAAGGTTTTATATGGGAGTTGAAAATATATAGCAAAAACGAACAGAAATTTTCAAATAACATAGTTGTTAATTGTGCTCTTAGCAGCACCTGGAAAACCTCCAGCAGCGTCAGAAGTCGATGGTAAGCAGGTGAGAACGCAGCCTCCGCGTTAGCGCTCCTTGTCCCGGGTGCGCCAGGCGCCTCTGGGATCCGCCCTCTTCCTGTGGTGGCTTTTCCTGTACGTCGCACATACAGAGCCATCATGAAAATGGAACGGGCACCGAAGGGGGGGAGAAAGTAACCTAAAACCCTCCCCATAACCACACAAGGGAAACCTCCGCAGGAAGATGAAAGCACGTTGGATGGAAAAAATAACTAGAATAAAAATATTTGTTATCTAACACCTTTGGCCAAGTCCTTGAATACGTGCCAGGAAATGGAGGCGAGCGAAGCAGGGGACTCACAGACCACGCCCAGCCGCCCCGCCCTGTGCTGTCTCACGAGGAGCCCTGGCTCACGCGCCCCCCCACCGCCCAAGTGAAGCGTCGGCTAGCCAAGTGCTGCTGACGTTCGAAACGATTTTCAGAGCTCATAAGCTACAGAGTTTGTTCTTCGGTGAGCACACCGAGAAGAGCGGTTATAACCGTTAGGACTGGAGAGTGATTCAGCTTTTCGTGTTCCTTTCTAGGGGGCACAGTCTATCAGCCGGTCACAGTCGTCACTCCCCAAGGCCAGGTGGTGACACAGGCGCTGTCGCCCGGCACGATCCGGATCCAGAACTCCCAGGTCCGTGAGCTGGCCCCGCGGGGTGCTTGGGGGTGTGTTAGCACAGGGACAGGGGCACAGGCGGCCCGGGCTCCAGCCGTCCCCTCGGCGTGAAGGCCATGCGGGCAGTCTCCAGTTAACCTGAATGTCGGTGTCGTGCGTTTTCTTCACGGTTCATCTTCCACATTGTTGCAGAGTTCAGAGAAGCCTAAGGAAGGAGGAAAAGGTCCCTCCCCGCGAGGGGCCACTGCTGTCCCGTCTAACACGGGGCTGTGTGGTTGTCTCCGCTTCAGCAGGGCGGAGGCTGCGTAGACGCACCCTGCCCGGACCCCCGGACGTTCACCCCGACCCAGGCCTCCAGCTGAGGGGGTGGGCTTGGGCCGGCAGAACGCCAGCGCTGGCAGTGCCGTGACGTGCCCCGACCTGGGGGTCGTCTTACCCTCCCTGTGCCTTTGTGGTAACGCGAGACCAGTCCCCTCTACGTTCTAGGGATATACACACACATTTTTTTAATGTCTTACACTTAGCTAGGTTTAAATCAGAAGCAGTGTTTTCGCCATCAGTTCTTACTGAAGACCATTGATTCATTCTTTATGTTATTCTTTGTCTTTGGCCTGCACAGATGCTTTGTACATCCTCGTTAACCACTTTGAGGCCTGGCCTTGGGGATGTCAGTGTTTTCTTAAATCAGAAGCAGGTGTGAGAGGGCCTGGGGCAGGGGCCGCCTGGGCACACCTGAGGCCAGGACACGAGGTGGCCCCCAGGCCCAGCCACCCAGCGCCGGCCCGCCATCCCCGGCCAGCCCGCCGTGCCTGAAGTTTTCCATTTACAGTGGCTGGGAACAGAAAGCTGGTTTTCAGAGCGTTTCCTGGCCTCACAGTGAACTGTTTTTAGCGGAAGGAAACACTGTGAAGTCCAGTGCTTACTGGTACAGTGGAGGCTCATTTGTTCTGCTGTTTAAGGAAGAATTTCACCAAGTTTACATAGCAGACGTGCAGAGTTTGGGTGACGTCCGCGGAGCCCCTGCTCCCTGAGGCTGCTGGCCAGGAGCCGCCTCTGCTCTGGTCCTCAGTGACCCCGCAGCCCACCCTGCACTTGTCCCTTCCCCGTCACAGCCCCGGTGTCTGTCCCTTGCAGGGCGGCAGGGCTGGGGAGCTGGAGAGACAAGCCCCGCGCAGGGCGGGCGGGGGGTTTCACAGAAGAGTAAATAGACCGGCTGGGGCCCGGCTGGGGCCTTCTGTGACCAGGGAGCCCACGCATGTAGGTACGTGATCCTGCAGAGCTGTTGTGGTCACTCCGCGCGTTTTTCCTTCTCATTTGGCCGACGTCTGGGTTCTTGCTGGGCTGCAGGTAGTTAGGGTGAGTCCCTCAGCAGTGACGGCTTCTGTGTTCTAGAAACTGGAGGGCAAGAAAGCGCGTGGTTGTCTCTGACGGTGCATGGCGGTGGCCGGCCCCTCCCCGCGCCAGGCGCATTGGCCACGGGGGCGTTTTCTGACCTGGCGCCGGTCACACGGAGGAGCCGGGCGCTCTTCCTGGGCTGCGCCACCTCTACAGAAGGGTCCCCCGTTGTGCTCACAGTACATACTCATTTAAAAGCATTTTTTTCTGAGAAAATAAGAAGTAGCCAGGGCAGTGAGATTCCACTGATTTCTCCTCGCCCCACCCTGCTCCCCTTTCCCGGGATAGTCTTATTTGTACAAAACCGTTATTCGTATGGGTCGGGGTTGTGCTGTTGTCTGACGTGTGACAAGTTTTCGCCTCCTTTTCACGATTTACAGTGATGCTTGACTCTCTGGTATCAGGTCGCCCTGTGCCCGCGTTGCTGAGAGGCCTGGACCAGACTCACAGCAGCCCCCACCCTCACCTTCGCTCCCCTTGGGTGACCGCTTTCAAGCCTCCTGGCCATTGCTTCTGCTGTTCCCTCCGTGTTTGAAATAAAATCCCCTCCCCTAACTCACCCGTCCAACCTGTAGCTTGGGCTTTCTGTCCTGCTGGGGGCTGTGCTCTCTCCCGTCCCCTCCCTGGCCAGGATGCCGTCCATGTAGACACAGTGCAGCTGATGCGTTTTCATTGTGAACATCCTCACGAGCGTGTAAATGCTGGTTTCTGCTGAGCTGCGTGTGTAACCGTGATCACGCTGCCCGAGGTAGCAGCTGGGTTCTCCCCCCCACCCACCCCCGCACAGTTTCCATGACGTCGGCGGCTGAATCCTCACGGATGCCTAGCATGCTTTCGGTGTCCCTGTCAGGTAGCTGGTCGGGGCCACGTGGCCTCGGGGCTCTCGGCCTCCTGGTCTCCACCTCGGCCGGGCGTCGCGCGTCGGGCATCCGGCGCGTCACCCTGAGGAGCCCCTTCCCCGCGAGCCCACGTCTTCTACTTTCTAGGCTTCACTGCCCCTTCGAGAACTTGCGGAGAAAACGTGTGTGGGAGGTGCCTCGTGTTGGGACTTAGCAAACCTAGAAGTGACTTGGTCTCATCCTTGACACGCAGTTGGTTTGCATGTACGATTCCAGGTCGGGAAGGGGCTCCCCGGGCGCCGTCAGTGTGTTCTAGCAGCCGCGCTGCCTTCGAGAAGGTCAGCGTGAGCTCCGCTTTCCCGTCTTCGGTGTTTTCTCCTCTGTCAGATGCGTCTCTTTCCCCTGAGTTTTTGGCGCGGGTCTTGTTTGTCGGCTGCGCTGGGCACTGCCAGGGACCTCGTGTCCTTGAGGCTGGGACATTTTCCTGAACTTTCTGTGACAGCCCCGCCCCCGCCCCCAACCTGCACATTCTCTCCTTCCAGAGCCCTTACTGACCGGACGCTAGACCTTCTGAACCGAGTCTCTTGACTTTTCTGTAGTTTTATATTTGTATCCCCATTGTCTACTTTCTATCTACTTTCGAGAACTTGCCTTTTATCTTCCAACGCATCTGTTAGGTGTTACATTTCAGTGTGGTTGTAACTTCTGAGGCTCCTATTTGCCCACTGTGCTCTCCTGCCCTTGGTTCACGGATGGTTGGCACGTGCTTTGCTTTCTGCACTTGCCCTGTTTCCCGCACGTCATACCATTCATTTGCTTTGCCGTTGGCTTTTTGTGATGGAGGCGTTCAGGTGTTTGGGGGCAGTTGGCTGTCCTTCTAAATGTAAACACGAGGCACTGGAATGCTCTTTGGTGCTCGTCAGGTGCTGCGCTTTGGCGGGCCGGCTCCTCTGTGGCCTGGCCTCCAAATTCGGCGCTCCCTCAGCCTTTTCTTCCTTCATTTCCCCGGAGCAGGACTCTGATCTCTTGCTTGGGGCGGAAGCATAGTTGCAGGGGCAGGAGTGGGCGGGGTCTCCCACCTTGTGTGCAGATCTTCTTCACCCTCGTTCTGGCCTCGCCCCTCCTCCCACCCTCCAGCTATGCTCTGTCTTCAGCCTCTGGTCTGTTTCTTTGGGAAAGAGACCCCGAGTCTCTGCAGGGCTGGGGGCAGATCAGTCACCCGCAGAGAATGATGGGGAGTGGTATGGGGGCCCCGCTGCTTCTTAAATGGGTTTTCACCCAGTTTCCTCGGCTTTAAATCCCCCTGCCACGCGCAGGCTCGGCTTTGCTGGAGGGCAGGGGGCCGGTTGGCCGGTCCCCCCGCAGACCCTCGGCTTCGTTGGCCTCCCCAGGCCCCCTTGGTGGCATCTGTGCGGTCGAGTCATGTGGCCAGCTGTCACTTTCCCTGTTCATGAGTCCACATTTGTTTTAACCCTGCACAAAAAAAGCAACACTGAAACTGAAATACATGTCACATTGCATGAAGAAGGTCATGTATTGAATTGTGGCAAACACAGCAGACAGGTTCCATTTTGGCCCTAGTGGAACTAGTTTTAAAAGCCCATTTTTCATTCTTTTTCCTGTTGCACACAAGTGTGAGCATACAGGCATTTGCTTAATACTGTTCAGTCCTCGGGGCTTCCCCGGCGGTCCAGTGGTAGAGAATCTGCTTTCCAGTGCAGGGGACGCGGGTCCGGTCCCTGGTCGGGGAACTAAGATCCCACATGCCGCGGGGCAACTAAGCCTGCGCTCCACAACTACTGAGCTCACGCATCTCAACTAGAGAGGCTGTGTGCCGCAAACTACAGAGCCCACGCACCCTGGAGCCTGCGCACCACAACTAGAGAGAAGCCCGAGCGCTGCAACGAAAGATCCCTCGTGCCTCAACTAAGACCCAACACAGCCAAAAATTAATCAATCTTTAAAAAAAAATACTGTTCAGTCCTTTAATGAACAAACACATGCATTCCAGAAAACAGTTATGCCCTTAGTAATAATCTTAGGTTTTAAGAAATTTTAGTTAGTGGTTGTAATGTCTCCTTTAAGTCATAAATTCTGTCTGTTTAGATGCTGGTGTTCAGTCTTTTAAAGAATTATCCAAAATGATGTAAATCTGGAGGAAGAACAAATAATAGATACCTCTCCAAAATAAACTTCCAAGTCCTGTAAATGATGTTTATGACTGTATTATACTGAAACTGACCTACAGAAGTTGATGCTTATTTATTGATTTTTCCTTTTTTTTTAGTACATCTTTATTGGAATGCAGTTGCTTCACAATGCTATGTTAGTTTCTGTTGTATGCACACACGTACCCCCATATCTCCTCCGTCTTGAGCCTCCCTCCCTCCCACCCTCCCTGTCCCACCCCTCTAGGTGGTCACACAGAAGTTCTAAGGTAAAGCATGGATCACAGTGGAGAGGTCCCGATGTGTCTGTGTGGAGGCCCCAGCGCGGGGTGTTGGTTTTCTCCCTGGTCTGGGGGATGAATGCCACTGGCACCATCTCTGCAGCCCCTGGCTGGACGCCTGGGGCATGATGCTCTTTCCTCGTGTTTGTGTGAGTGGACGGACGCTCATCTAAGGGGACTTACACACGTGTCCTCTCCTTCCGAGATGGAATGAACAGGCTGTATCTCAGGCTCTTCTCAGGGTGAGGGGGGCAGTGTCTTGAGTGGCCGTGGAGCCGTCTGGGCAGAGGTCATCGCCTTGGCCCCTCTGCTCTGTGGTCGCTCTGTCCGCACTTTGTGTGTTTCTTTCTCTCCTGGCCGGGCTCCTCTAGTTAGTGGCCCTTCCAGCTTCCCTGTCCATCCTTGTTGGTTGCTTGAATCCTGCTCCAGGCCAGGAAATGGGCTGTTGTCTCATCTGTCGCCAGAGGAGACAAGCTGAGGACAAGTGTGTGCGAGGGCGGGGCTCGGCTGCGTGCAGGGTGGGACACTCGGGGCTTCTCGGTGCCCGTCCCACCTGCATCGCCAGACAGGGGGCCCCTGCGCGGCTGAGATGCGAGTGTAAAGGGTTACAACGCGAGGGGCCACATCCTCGGAAAATCAGCCCTACAGGGTCCCCGTGTTTATGCCTTTCCTGTAAATAAGACACGTAGCTGTAAGATCCTTGGTTATTCTCTACACCTGCACTCATAAGCTACTTGGATATGTCATCATTTTCTATGCTTTCTAACGTTATTTTTCAATTGTTTAAAAGCTTCAGTTACAGTTAAACCAGGATCTCAGCATCTTGCATCAAGATGACGGTTCATCTAAGAACAAGAGGGGGGTCCTGCCGAAGCACGCCACCAATGTGATGAGGTCCTGGCTCTTCCAGCACATCGGGGTGAGGACACACGTGCTCTGCAACTAGCCAGACCTCCGTGATGCTTTCTTTCTGGCTGATTTTCTAGAAAAAATGGACTTATGTGGGCTGGTAGGCCTGGGTTTAAGAATCGGTGTTCTGTTGACTGTCCCTGATGGGTCGAGCACAGGACAGAAGGGAGGGTTACCCAAAAGCTGGTGACAGGGAGTAAGTTCAGCTGCTGTTAACGGTACGCGCCCGCGAGAGAAACTGCCCGTGGAGGGTGCCTGCGGGGAGGTGAGGTTGATGAGAGAAGTGGGCGGAGAAGAGGTGCTCTGGGGCAAAACCTTGGAAAGTAGCGATGTTTGATACGTGGGATTTGGGAGGGAGATGAGGAGTCGAGCTTGTGGACGGAGGGGCGGCACGTGGCCGTGACCGTGAAGGGGAGCTTGGTGTGCCTTAGGCTGCATGCCCCCTTTCCTCACCGGGACCTTGGCACGTCCCCCTGAAGCCGTCCTGTCTCAGGGTGCACGCTTGCCCACCGATTTCTGGGGAAGGCTGGCTGGTTCCCCGCCTGAACCCAGTCCCCACGCCCCCGACCTCGGGGGAGGGTGTGACCGCGAGTAGCTTCCAGGAGTGACAGCCTTCTCGCTGCTGCTGTGTTGGGAAGGACCGGGCTGGCCCCGGGGGGCGCGGTAGGATGGAGGTGGGAAGGTGGGCGCACCGCTGGGTTACGGCCTGTGCGGGCGGAGGGAGGGGCCCAGGCGGCGTGCGGGTGGATGCGGAGGTCCAGAGGGTCTGGAGGGCCGGGAGGGAGAAACCCCTTTCCGCGGACCTGTCCATCCGCAGCCCCGGCCCGGCCGCTCCTGAGGGCTGAGCTGGTCGGCCCGGACCTGCGCCTGGGCGTCAGCGCTGCCGTCACCCGCTGCGGCCGCGTCCTCACTGCCCCGGCCTTCCCGCCTCCACCCCGTGCGCCGTGGTGCCCTCGGGTCTCCGCAGCGCCCCTTTGCCCCTGGGGGCGCCCCCCGCCCGGGCTGCGGCCGCGTCCGTGCCTGGGCGCCCGCCTCCGTCCTCACCCGGCTGTTGCCTCCAGTCCCCCTGGGGTTTGGCCCTGGTCGCTGCTGAGACCCCTTCCTCTGCCCGGAGCTGGGCTCTGCGGGCTGTGCCCCGGCCCGGAGGGGGCGGCTCACGTGCCGCGGGAGAACGCGGTCGTCATCGGCAGTGCGACCCCGCCTAGAAGCTGGTCCTAGCGAGGGTCACGCGCAGTGGAGACGTTTAGGGACAGAATGTTACAGTGCTGTTTGCTGCCATAATGGGAAATGGGTTGGTGTGCGCGTTAGGAAGGTTGTACAGCGAGTTAACACGGTAAGCGAGGGCCAAAAGCACTAGGAAGCTGTAGGTACGTGGACGTAAGTGAAAAAGTAGAACGTACATGTTTCTAAATACATTGTATTACAACCGGTAAATGTGTCTGTAATGTAGTGATTGGACTACAACACAAGTAAGTGATGGAATTGGCTATTTTCCTGTTAAGTTTCCTTTAATGTTTTAATCATTTCTAAAATAGACCCTGCTCAGAGGTTCAATTAAAATGCCTTTTTTTTTCCCTATGAAGCATTTCCTGTGTCTTCTTCTTGACCTCATTTCTCTGAAATACTGTCCTTTCCTTGTAGTTTTCCTGACACTCTAGGCAGCACTCGTTACTGTTTTGGTGGGTTTTTTGTTTTGTTTTGTTTTGTTTTCTGGTTTGTGTACTTGCTTCCTGCCCCCTTTTTATTTTACGAGCCTTTTTTTTTTGCGGTACGCGGGCCTCTCACTGCTGTGGCCTCTCCCGTTGCAGAGCACAGGCTCCGGACGCGCAGGCTCAGCAGCCATGGCTCACGGGCCCAGCTGCTCCGCGGCATGTGGGATCTTCCCGGACCGGGGCACGAACCTGTGTCCCCCGCATCGGCAGGCAGACTCTCAACCACTGCGCCACCAGGGAAGCCCCTATTTTACGAGCTTTTTAAAGGGCAAGAACAATATTTCTGTTTCCATAAACTCTCCCTTGGGGCCAGATGCTCACCTATAGAATGAAAGTGAGTCACTGTGGGTTAGTGTGAGGAGTGGGACCACTGCTGTTGAGATAAATGTGGTTATATATCCCAGAAGGCATAGTGCCCTTCCGGACACACGGAGTGTTCGCTTAAAAAGCAAAAGAGACCCCCACCTCCTTACTTTGTGGGTGCCAGTCACTCCCTGGGGTCCTGCTCGGTGCAAAATAAGGGCCTTCAGTGCATGCACATTTTAGAGTGAATGTCGTACTGGTTTCTACAGGCAGATGGTAACCGACCTTGGAGAAGTTGTTTATTACTGCAGATAGAAATTGTTTTCCTCCGGTACGTCTGTGGATTTTGGTACAAGCGTACTGCACTGTATTGTGCTTCTCAGATGTTCGTTTTTCACAAACTGAAGGTTGTGGCAGCCCTGCGTGGTCACATCTGTCGGTGCCATTGTTTCCAGCAGCGTTTGCTTACTTCATATCTCTGTGTCACATTTTGGTAATTCTCTCAATATTTCAAACTTTTCCATTATTATTTGATATGATCTGTGCTCAGTCATCTGTGATGTGACTTTTGCAAGAAGGCTCAGATATGGTTAGCATTTTTTAGCAATAAAGTATTTTAAAATAAGGTATGTACATTGTTCTATTAGATGTAATGTTACTGCACACTTCATGGACTACAGTAGAGCCTAAACATAACTTTTATATAACATTTTTGGAAACACAAAAATTCGTGACTCGCTTTATCGCAATATTCTCTTTACTGAGGTGGTCTGGAACTGAACCTGCAGTATTTCCTAGGTGTGTCTGTATTTATTATACTTCTGGCTTTTTCTGAGTGAAATATTTCGGTCATACGTGAAAGGAAGAGTAAATAGCAGACACCCCGTCCCCAGCCCTCAGTTCGGTTCTCTGCCAGCCGCACACACGAGTCTAGTGACGCCGTAGGTGACACCTGTGCATCCGTGTCAGCTCGTGCTGGCGCTCCCCGTGACGGAAACGTGTCGCCTGAATGTGACGGCCTGGAGCAGCCCCATCCGCTTCCTGCCTCCTCTTGTTCAGCCGGCCCAGGATGCGGGGAGGGTGTGCACTGCCCTGCTCAGTTTCCTCATCGTAACATCAAGGTGGCGGCAGCTCTGTGTCCGTGAGGAATCAGTGAATCTCCGTAGGATGTACAGGGGTGACCTGCGCGCTCTGTCTTGCTGTGGGTCGAAACTCAGCCATTTATCTGCTTTAAATGGATGCGGTTTATGGTCCTTGAATTACACCTGTAACGTTGATACAAAAGCCATAGGTTGTGTCGGGTGCTTAGAGCAGCAGCTGGTGCAGCCCAGGAGCCCCTCTGCGTGCCCCGCGCCCTTCCCTTCACCGTGGCCTTTGAGTGTGCGGACTCCTGTCTGCGTCACACCTCTGCCTGGGCTTTCACTAGCTGCTGCAACACCTGTGTTCTTGGGCTGCTGGGAGAAAGGCTTCATTTGTTTTAGGCATTTCTGGAAAACATGATGAGACTGAAGTTAGGTTTTAGCTGCAAGCACCCTTGACGCCGGTTTTTACTAACGATTGTTTGTGTGCTTCTGTTTCACCAGGATGATCTTGAGTTCCTTTTTAAAAGCTGGAGCTCACGGTGACCCTTCTTTTTATTTTCAGCATCCCTACCCGACAGAAGATGAGAAAAAACAGATTGCTGCTCAGACAAATTTGACGCTACTCCAGGTGAACAACTGGTAAGCTGCCCCTGCTTTCCGAAACGGTGCCGTCCGCACGGCGGAGCGCCTGCAGGCCTCACGCCAATAGGTAGTAAATTTCGGTTGAAGTACATGAGTTCTTTTAACTAGCATTCCTGTGTTATCAGAGTCTGGAATCGGTGGCAGCCAGGTAAGCGTAAATCACACACTTCCACCTTAAATTTTCAATGCTCAGTACCCCACTAAGGGCCTTTGGCCGACATCCCCCTCCCTCGATTAGAAATGGGTTTCTCCAGGGCATTAGCCAGCGCCCCTCACCCCAGCCTCCACTCACAAACACCACGTTTCTGTGGACGAGCTCCTCTGGGCGGTGGACGGCCGAGGTGAGTTCCCCTCACCCCTGGTGGCCCCTCCGCACCCCTCACACCTTTTGAAACCCGTGTCACTTGTTCAGCAGTGACTGGGGGAGGGAGTCCCATGGCCGGCCGGCCGCGCGGTGGTCCTGCCCCACAGGAGGCCTCAGGGTCCTGAGAGGGAAGCGTTTCTTTATGAAACACCCTGTTCTGCTTCTTGTGTCACATGGCAGTGTGGACACTTGGACCCTGACCGTGATGGTTTCCCCTCACACAAGAGGCGCTCACATCACTGAGCGGCGTTGAGGTCTGGGTGTGCACTTGCGTTCTGCTTGGCAGTCATTGGCCTCATTTTTATTTACTTCTTATTCAGATGTAGGAATTGATTTCAGGTTAATGAAATTGGCTCGCGTAAAAGAAAAGGAAATACAGATTCTACCACTTGTAAACATTGTTATCTTTTCATTTTAACTGTTAAAATTTAAACTTGAAGGTCAGGTGAGTTCCAATATAAATGATAAATTCTTCCGTTTTGGGCAGTTGTGTATGCAGGAGGTATGCTTTGGCGTTGCATCAGGTGTTTCCAGTATCTTGCACTTGGGCCAGTACTTTTTACTTAGCTAGCCGTAATAGACCATACCCGTTGAATTAGCTCCTGTTAGACCTTTTAGATAGAGTGTTAACAAGAGTTCAAAGGTTTCGAGTACTGTGTGGCTGTGAGTTTTGTAATGTCTTAGCATGTTCTCCGTTATTTTCATGCGGCCCCACGTAGAGACTGTGTCTGGTTTAGTGATGGATGGATTGAGGGATGAGAGACGCAGAGGTGCGGCTCTGGATGTTCTGATGTGTTTGTCGCCAATCAGCCTTCTCCTCGCTATTTGTTCCTCATTCGTGGGCTCCCTGCCCTTCCCTAAGTTGCTCCTCTGCTGTCTTAAGAGAATTGTCTTATCTAGAAGGTTTGACCTCAACTTTTAATTTTGAAATTCATCACCGTTTAAAACATGACTTTTATAAATTCTAAACTTTCTAAAGTCTTTTAGTTAATATTTGAAGCTATTTTTACCTCTTCTGACTTTCTTTCCTTTTATATTTGCAAAAATTATATCTTGGAGCGGGATTGGACAACACTCATCGTTAGCTTATGCCTCTGCCTCGTAGCAGCTTTGACAAAGATGGATAAAGAGACAGATTGAAAGGTAGCAGCGGGTGTCCCTTCCCAGGTGGCGCTGGGGTCGGCGGTGAGCTTCCGGGGAGTCCAGCTCACGCTCAGCTGCAGGGACCAGAGATCGACGCTGAACGAAGCTCTGAGGCGCCAGCCCGGTCATTTGTATTATTAGAATATGTCCTAGTGCAATTGTAGGTGTTTTTGAATCTTAGGACTTTGAAGTTAGGCAACCTCAGAGCCGGACATCTGTCCACACTCAGGGCTCGGCCGGGTGGGACCCCCAGATAGGAGACGCACAGCCTGCGAGTCCTCGGGCGTCACGACTGCAGGGCATGTAGTTTTGCTGCTTTGACCTTTCTCTTCCTCGGAGAAAATCATGCCACATTCACAACGTTGACAGTATCATCAGTGTCATTATGAATAGCAGTTTCACCGACAGGGAAACGTCGGTTAAAGTGGAGGAAAGGCCCCATGGAAGAGCTGGTCTGTATTCAGATGGATCACTTTAAAAGCAGCCGTGTTCTCTGGGCATTTAGATAATAGCGTGTCGTCACTGAGTGCTGCTTCTAACAGGGAATACGTGTTCCTGCTCGTGTGGCTCGCCAGGCGGGCCTGTGACTGCCCTGGGCGGCCTCAGAAGGGCCGTTTTGACCTGTTTCCTGCTCGCAGGTTCATCAATGCGAGAAGACGCATCCTGCAGCCGATGTTGGATTCTAGTTGCTCAGAAACTCCAAAAACAAAGAAGAAAACTGCTCAGAACAGACCCGTCCAGAGGTTTTGGCCCGATTCCATCGCCTCAGGAGCCGCACAGCCAGCCGCCAGCGAGCTGACCGTGTCCGAAGGTGGGGACCGGGCCCGGGCCTGTGCCCTCGCAGCCGGTGGGCGGCCGCTGTCCTGGGGGCTGGGGGTGTGTGAGGCTGTGAACCAAGGGCAGGCCGTGGTCGTTCTGCATCTGACCATGAGAGAGCGCTGGGCCTGGTGCTTGTTAGGGGTGCAGGTGTGCCCGGGAGAGCCGGGTCCCAGGCCAGTCCCCCGAGGTCCCTCCCGCCTCTTTCTGTCCCTCCTGCTTCGGTGCAGCGAGTGGACGTGTCGTGCGCTCACTGCCTGGCGCTTCACCCTTTCTGTCCCTGCGGCCCTCATCCAGCTTTTCTCTTCCCTCTGACCCGCGTCCCCTCATCACGGGCCGCTCCTTCTGTGTTTAGTTGACGAGCATCTTCTGTGTGCGTGAGTTCCTCACACTTAAGATGGTTGTGTGTGTGTATTTTTAAATGTAATAAGTTGTGTTATTATCACATTCTTACCTTCTCGTTCTCCTCTTACGTTTTCCGCTCAGCAGTTTACTGTTACTCAGTTGGGAAACTTTGGGGCTATTATTTCTTCAAATATATTTTCTGAGCTCCCCTCCCCCAGGGGCTGCAGTTGCCCCTGTGATAGGGCGTTACAACTCACACAGTTACTGCTGCTTTCTCCAGGATTTTGGATTCTTCTTCTCTGTTTCATCCTGGATAGTTTCTCTGTTTCTATTCTTAAGCTTCCCCAGTCTTGTGCTCTGTGATGTTTAATCTTCCGCTAATCCCATCCCTGTGTTTTTCATGTTGGGCATTGTCTAGAAGCTCCATGGGAGCTTTCGTATCTTTCACGGTCTACTGAAGTTTGGAACAAACAGCACACAGTCGCCAGTAACTGTTTGGATGACCTCCTCTGCTACTTGTAACATCTGTCAGCTCTGGGCTCGTTTCTGGTGACTGAATTCTCATTATGGGCTGTTTTCCTGCCTGTTTGCGTGCCTGGTAATCTTTGACTAGAGGCCAGACATTGTGGGTGTGACCTTATCGGGGGATGGGTGTTTCCGTATCGCTCCGGCTCTTCCTGAGCTATGTTCTAGCGGTCAGGTTACTGGGCACTCTCTGATCCTCTTGGGCTTTGCTTTTGCAATTGGTTCTTGCCTGGTGGTCCCAGCAGTGCTGGGTCCTGGCCTGCTTTTCCCCCTCGACAGAGGCAAGACCTGTCAGTGCCCGGCCCAGGGCCTGTGCTCCAGGGTGTGTCCAGTCCAGCTCTGCCAGCTCTGGACACTGTGCTCTGTGATCTTTGGGGCTGATTCTCTTCCTGGCCTCGGTTGTTTCCTGCGCACATGCACTCATCTGTCCTCTGCCGATGCTCAGGGTGTCCCAGAGCCGGGCTGGCCCTGGGCTCGGAAGGGGCCCCTCACGGGATGTGCCTGTAAAGCCTTGGCTTCTTTATTTGGGTTTTGATAGGCAGTGGTTTTACCTTCGTACTTAAATCATTTGTATCTTCCATTTTTGTTTTCCTTTTTAATTCAAGGATTAGTTAGAAAGGTTTTTTTCCTCTCTCTCTCCCCCTCCCTTGCCCCGCTCCTGGAAAAGGCAATACCTATCCACTGGGGAAGAACTTCAGGCAAGGATATCCAGGGAGAAGTAACCTTTCCTCCACCCTGGCTTCTTATCTTCTCCAGAGACAACCCTTAGTACCAGTTTCCCGTGGAGGCTCCCAGTGCGTGTCTGATGCCGTGGTCTGTGCACAGACAGGAATGAATGCGTGAATGAATCGTTTTTAGACGTTCCCTAAGCGTAACGCCGCGTGAATTACGTAAACCCCAGATGACCCCTTCTTGCTTTCTTCCCCCGCTGGTGCTGTGCAGATTTTTATGGACGGGCACGTGTGACCCACCATGTGGGGTTCCCTAGCGCAGCGCCGTCCTCGGCCCAGCGTGTCTCATCGGCGTCCCGCTCGCGGGCCCTTGGTGCTCTCCCCCCTCCGCTGGTGGCTGGGGGAGCAGGAACGCGTGTCGCAGGTTCTCCGTCTCCGTCTCAGACCGGCCTGCCTTCCTCTGACCCAGTCCTCCCACCCCGTCTCCCCGCTTTGTTGTCTCGAGGCCTCTCCCCCGTGTCCTGGGTCTCTTGTCCTCTGTGTGGCACTCGCTCTGCACCCCGGGCGTCTGTGCCCTTTACCGTCCTGACCCTCGGACCCTCTGTAGACTGAGAGCTTAGCCGCGCAGGGTCTGGGGCCCATCCTAGAGACACGGGTCCTTAACTCCCTGCGGATGGTCCCAGGAATGGGCAGGGGGCTTCGCGGGAGGTCAGGCAGCCCGGCCCCACAGGTCGAGGGGTAACAGTTGGCGTCCGAGCGCCGATGGTGTGGTGACAGCCGCCTTGTGCCGCAGGAGCCGTCGTGACCATCACCGCGCCCGTGGGCATGAACGTGGACAGCCTGCAGTCCCTGTCGTCGGACGGGGCCACGCTGGCGGTACAGCAGGTGATGATGGCCGAGCAGAGCGAGGACGACTCGGTGGACAGCACGGGGGACGGCGGGGCGGCGCTGGCGCCCGGCCACCTGGGCGGGCTGGTGCTGGAGAACAGCGACTCCCTGCAGTAGGGCCGCCGCCCCGCCTTTTATAGTTGGCACAGCAAACATTTTACACAGTTTTATTTCTAATATGTTTTATATGTAGGCATAGAAGAGTGCACTTTTGTATTTCCTAGTAAGCTTCCAGGGCGTCTTTGCTGGTGCAGCGACTTCTTTCAAGGTGTGTGTGTGCGTGTGTGTGCGTGTGTGTGCGTGTTTTTAAGGAAATTCTTTCAAGGTTTAACGCTAAAAGTATGATGAATGACAGACCCCCTCCCCCGCCCCCTGAACCCCCGACTAGATTAAGGAATAGTGCTGCCATTTTTAGAAAATCATGCAGTTTTAATTTAGCTCTGTGGTGAAGGCAGGTCTCAGTGGGCTGGTTTATTGACGGAGCCCGTGGATTAGGAAGCAGCTTCTGGCCCTGAAAACTGCCGGTGTGAGGCGGATGACAGCACACAGCAATAAACCGCGTGCGACCTGGCGGCGAATGTATGGCGAGTCTAATGTGGTTCCGTGAGCCTGTGTCATTTGCTGTATGTGAAAAGAAACTCCTATTTTTACCTTGCTGCAATTATTGGATAAAAAGCTATTTTTATAAATTCGTTATGAATTGGATTATGACTATATCGAGGATAAAATTTCTAGAGGAGAAACAGTACCTGCTTACTGTCTCAATTTGGAATGTTCTGAATTGACCAAATTTGACGAACCTGCCCAAAGTTAGCTAGCGTTCCATGGCTCTCTGCTATCCCAGGGTAGCAATTTACATTTACTCCTATAAAAGAAACACCTATTTAATGAAGGTTTGATATCTTCAAATTTTAGTCTGTCCGTACATGCTCAGATTGCATCCTACACTTATCTTAAACAAACATCTAAAGGTACTTGCTAAGTAGAGCTTAGGTAAGTTAAGAAATGGTAGCCAGTGGTCAGTTCAAAGCTCTTACTGACATATTTCAGTCTAATTTAAATTTGACCACAGTTAAATGGTTAGTGTACCATGTTAGCTGGGTGTTGTTTTAGAATTTTTTAGTCAGCCATATGTTACGTGTAGAATGTTTATGATAAACTAATATGAAGTGTCCTCTATCCCGCTGGCTCAGAGCCGGGGTAAAGAGCAAGCCCTCGGCTTTGTTACACGATTAACAAACATCCCCTGCGGGACGGGAACGAGTGGGGCCTGGAGGACGGGGTGACGGTGGCCCTCCTGCCGCCGCGTCTCACGCTGGTCCTGGGTCGGTGTTCTCTCCTGCACGTGGTCCTTCCCTCTGACTCGATCACATCAGATCTGGAGTAGTGTTGGGACTTCGGTTCCTGGTGACCAGACGAACCGCAGAGCAGACTGGGTTTGTTTCCTTGGGTTTTGATTTGTTTCTGTTGGTTTGCTTTCAAGTGGGGCTCTTCCTCAGAGAGGAAGCAGAGGCCCTGGTTTCACGGAGGAAATCTTCGTGTTACCGTCAAGCTCAGCGCACTTCTCAAGGACAGTCTTACGGTCGGGAAGGTCGTCAGCTCCTGAGAAGCAGTGACAGTAACTGGTTGTGGACCAAGGCTACATGGGGGTATTCTGAGCTGGTGCACGTTGTTTTCTGGAACTGACTTTCCCCCCCGAAATTATTAATAATTAAAGTTACTCATAGGAGAGCACTTCCTAGGTAACTCAGAAGGAAGCAAGAAACACACAGGAATTTCTTTTAAAATATTTCAGGAGGTTTAAAAGAAAAACTTGATTCTCGACTCTTTTGGGGGAGAAAATAACATTATAAAGCAGCTATTGCGTCCCTCATTTGTAAACAATTTCAAATATTTTAAGTCAAGTCTACACCAGTTTAAAAGATCATTTGAAGTCCAACGAAGTTAGAATTTAAGACGAGGCCCTGTGGAAACCGGCCAGCCCCTCCCTCCCACCTCCCTCCCTTCGCCTCCCCCCCCACCCCCCGCGCGCCCCCCCATCCCTCTGCCCTTGGGCTCAGATCAGTGACAGGGGCAGGTGGTCGCTCCAGGTCCCCGTTTCCCTGCAGCAGAAATCCTGTCCCGGGATGCATGCTGCACAGGCCACGGCAGTGCTCACACGGGGCCGCGTGGGGGTCCAGCCGTCGGTGCCCGGGGTCTCGGCCACACTCCCTCCAGCCGAAGTCTGCGTGCTGCTCGCCACTGTCAGAGGACAAGGATGAAGCCCACTCGAGAGAGGGCGCTCTGGACACAGCCTGAGGTTCCTTTAAGCCCTTCCCCTGAGTAACCAAGGGGATCTGAAACAACCCGACAGGCAGACTGTTAACCGCTGCCCGGCGTATTGGTGGTCACTTGGTCCCTAATAAATACCCGTTTTCCAGCCCTCGGATTTTTGAGAGCATCTGTGAGAGCACGACCCGTTGAGCTTTCATTTTAAATGAACAAATTCGACCTTGACTTTGCTTTTGTTAAATTCTTTCCCTGTGAAGGATGCTTTTGACGGTGGTTTGAGACCCAGGTTAAGCGCGGTGTGTTACCTGCTGCTCAGCTTGCGAGCCGGTAGCGGATGGCTGGTCCGTGCCCTGGCCACGCTCCAGCTGCTGCACTAACGGAGCTTTCCGTGTCTTGATTCCAGAAATAAGACAGTGTAAGCATTTATCCAGCATGCAAAGTGAGATGGGCCCCGGCCCCAGCTCGCTCACAGACCACAGAGCCCTGATGCTGGAACCTCAGCCCCGAGGGTCCCGGGAGTCATCTCTGCATAACCTGCCCGTGACCCGACTCTTACCTGGGCGACAAAGTGTTGGAGCACTTTTTCTTTTAGACAAGCTCAGACATCCCCGGAAGGTGAGAACGGCCCACCTCTGGCAGTTAGGGACAGGAATAACTCCGCCGTCCTCCCGTTTCCGTTGTTTGGTCTGTGAACTGACAATCTTTACATGTGAATACTGTAACAGTTGTTTTCTCGGATGGCTGTCTTTGAAAGGGATTTTTGTGAAGCAACTGATCTATCAAAGCAAAAAAATTAAAAACAGAAACATGCTTCATGGACGTTTTATTTTCTAGAGTCCGTGTCACCGCAGCTGCTTTTCCATTTTGAGAACAACGTTCAGATGTTGGCGTGTTTGCTGGTGGCGCTCGGGGTCCGCGGTGAGCCCCGCGCATCCTTAAAATGAGGGCCGCACCGCCCTGGCACGTTCGGGCCCGGTTACATTTTCAAGAATCTTTTCTAAGTTTCTTCAGGTCGTCATTGGTTTTCCAGGAGAAAAACTGGAAAGTTTTTACTTGTTTTTTATCGTAGTTCGCCACAAGTCTAATTACTTTGATAGTAATGAGAAAATGATTCATTCGTAAGGTATTGCCTTTGATGGTTCACGTTGTCACATTACCCGCCAGAGCAGTTCCCGGACATACTGAAGGGGGGTGTCCACTGCAACACTGTCAGAGAGTTTTAACTCCCAAACCGTTTATACTTACAAGCTAAAGTCAGCAGACTTAAGTGATTTTGTAAAGTGCATCTGAAATCGTGAACTTGGCTGGAATGAGGAGTGACAGCTATGAAATGTGTTGCTCCAAGACATTGTTCGGATCCATTTGACAGAAAAAGGGAGTCACCCTCCTCTCTCTCCAACTCTTTTGAGGTCAGAGGTGAGAGGGTAGGCGTGAAATTTCACCAGGTGAGACCTTGGCTCAGCCCTGGGCCCCTCTGGGCTTCAAGGGCTTCATTTGTAAATGGGAAGAAGTTGGTTTATCAAAGGAAGAAATTGGTTTATAAGATTTGGTCTAGCTCAAGGTAATATTTGATGAATAAAATTCTACCTAGAGAGAGGTGAGTGAATAAGTAATGAGCTAGCAAATCGTGAAAATAAGAACTGAATTTGGACCAAATACCCAGTGTTTTTGCATCTTGTTGCATTAGGAGATGTCCTGAATAATGTATGTATTATGTTTAGCCCACGTGCTGTGTTATACACACTCTTAAGAAATTCTTAGCACAAGCTAGTTTTGCCCTTTTACAAACAGATCCTCTTATTTTCACTAAGACCTAAGGTCTCCGGACCATTTTAAAACTAAAATTTGCAAAACAGTAGAGCCATAGCTTAATCACTTAATGAATGCTGGCCTAGGGGGCGGGCACTTCCGCCCACGGCTGGGAGCCTGCTCCGCTCATCACACTGACCCCCAGCCCAGGCCCGGCCTCTGCAGAGGAGGGTCCAGGGCCATCTCAGCTCAGCAAGATCTCTTCCAGCTCTTCCTTGTTAGTCTATAAAGGACTAGTTAGTGTTGCTTAATGAAATAATTTGGTAAGTATTTTACATACAAATAGTATTGAGAAGGCATTTCTCGCACAGATGTTTCCATTTTTTTATATCACTGTTTAAACGAACCCAAGAGAGCACCCTATAAAAGCCAATAATGGCTTTAACATACAGGGATAAATCAGGAATTCTTTTATCCCAGTGTCTTTGAAAAGGAACATTTTAGTGATGTTGATGGCTCTAGTTGCTTACACAATTTTAGAAAATGGTTGGGAGAAAAAAATCAGGTATATTTAAAAAATATTTTGCTTTATGTTAACTCAGTTTTGTTTTGTTTTTTTTTTTGATATTAACACTGCAGTCAATCCAAGTAAGTGGTGAAGCCCTTTGTAGTTTATGCTCTGAGTGTAGACCTGAGTTTTCCAGCCAGAGAGTTCTGTTGCAGGAGGACAGCCCTGGAGCTGCAGGAAGTGCTCCCGGGCATAAGCCAGAGAAGCCAAGGAAGGGGTGTTTCCAGGAGGAGCAGAGTGTGGGGACGAGGGGCGGGGCCCCAGGCTCCCAGGGCTGGTGGCCACGAAGCCAGCGGAAGCTAATGGAGGAGCTCACCGTCATTACCACAGGGCGAGGAGGACCTACGAGGCCGAATGCACGAGTCAGAGGACGAGGCCTGGGGGATGCGGCCAAAGCAAAAGGGCGGCAGCCCGGACCGCCGACGGGCGACACTCGGGGAGAAGCGCGGCTCCCTCGCTTTCCTTGTTAGCATCCAAAGCTGGCAAGGAGTTCATATTGAGGGTAAAGGGAGGATTCTCGGAAATCAAAAGAACAGGGCAGAGGATCGTCAGTCAGTTCACTGAAGGGAAAACCCGCGCAGCCAACAAGCACGTGAAGACGTTCTGGGCCTCACCGCCACCAGACTAAACCAAGACCACGAGGAGACTCTGCCCCTTGCCCGGCAACGGTTCGGAAGGTGGCACGGAGTGTGGGAGCGTCACCGGGATGGCCGTCCCCGAGGAGATGGAGCTGGACTCTGGTCCTACAGGCTCTGCCAGAATTCCTCTGCAGGGTCACGTGAGGACCTGCAGAGGTGCCCGCGGCCGTGCTGTCCGTGGCGGCAGGAGTCAGGGAAGCGCCCTGGGGGTCCCTGCCGAGTGGAGCGGCCGTGCGGTCCGGGCTCGGACAGCGACGGGCGGCACGAGGACACTCTCGGGGCTGGTTCTGAGGACGAGGGGTTGTCTTCTCTTCGCCGCGTGTCTCATGCTACGTGGCCGAATGCCGGACACTTTTTGTAGAAGGGCAGAGACCAAAGCCGAGAGGCCTCGCGCGGAAGTGGGTGCAGCCAGCGGCAGGCTCGCGGTGCGGGGCTGAGTCCGTCTGTTGGGCCCTCGTGCTGGGTTTGGGGTTTAGTTTGGTCGCTGCTTTCGTGGCCTCCGTCCGTGTTCCTGCCCGGCCTCCAGCTTTCTGCCTGCCCACTGCCGGGGGCGGGGGCGGGGGGGGCGTGTCTCTCTGCTTTGTTCCCCCCCCCGCCCCGCCCCCCAGGTGGAGGCAGGTGTTCTCCTAGTCCAGGCTCGGTCGCAGGCAGGTCCTGCGTCCTGGGGCCCAGGGGTCAGCCTTTCCAGCCATCCTGCCCCCTCCCGCCTCTGCCGCAGCCTCTGCCTCGCGTCTGGGTGTGGTTCGGGGTTTGGGGGCGTGTCCCTGGGGCGGGGCTGAGAGGCTCCCTGCTCCTCCCCAGAAGCAGCAGCCTTCACCTGGGTGGGGTCGGGGGGTTGTCCCTCCACCGCTGGATTAAGGCTTTGCTTCGAAGGAGGGGAGGGTCAGGGTGGTGGGTGGCGTTTGCTCCCCCGGGGCACCGGGCTGGGGGTGTGGGGGAGGTCTCCAGCCCCTGCCCTGCTCCCCGGCACACGGGGGAGAGAACGCTCGCCGGCCGAGGCGGTGCCCTTTGCAGCTGGGCTGCCGGCTTTGCCAAAGGGGAACCAGCCTGCAACCCCGCCTCCCGCCTTGGGGGGCTTGTCCCTCTTTCGGATTCAGTCACCTGCTCGCCTTGCAACCGCAGCTCTCTGAGCTCAAGCAGCATTAAAGATGTAGATTATCCACTTTTTCTCCTTGATAGGCTGCGAAGTGTTCTCATGGCCTCTACATCCAAAATGGAACTGGGGCCCCAAAATGATTACTGAAAACAAGATTTTACGATCGGTTTGAGTGGAGAAAAAGGAAGTGGAACCAGACCTGTTTCACCATTTAGGCACATGGGAAATGTACGAAACGCTGTTTTTCAAGGATACATATCTTTCTGAAGGTCCCAGGGAGGATGCCTGGGAGGGAGCGGGGAGGGCAGGCATTAGGAGTGGGTCCTGAGGATGAGCCCGTCTCAGATGAGGTGGGGCCTTGTCCAGACAGGGTCGGAGTGCACAACGAGCTCTCTGCACCGCAGGTCAGGAATTAAAAATGGGAATCGGGAGTGGGAAGAACTGTGCCTAGAGACTGTTTTTATGGGGAATTGAAGGGGCTGTTCGGTCGCCTCCCACCTTACTGTTGAGCGACCTAAAGCCGTTCCCGTCTTGCTTCTTTGCCAGGCAATGCTGGTTCGCGGCAAGCCTTGGGGTCTCCACAGGTTAATTTCCCCGCAGTGGCACAGCAGTCTTTCCAGGCCCATGTGCTCTTCTAGAACTTTGTCCGTCGAGCAAGTCCCCTTCTCTAGAAACTGGCTGAGGTCTGGCTCCTCCGCCTTGCCGTCAGGCAGGATGCGTGTCTGTGACGCTGGTGACTGAGGTTAGAACAAAAGTGGACAGCGTCCTGTTGGCGCTGTACCACTCAGGACGTGTGCCCTTGTAAGGAAGCCCAGGCCACGTGCAGAGGTTCCAGCCACGGCATCAGCCTCCTGCCACGCACGGGCGGGTGGCCTCGCAGACGCTGGGAGCTGCGCTGGGAGGTGGGGCAGCTGCTAGACGTGGGAAGTGTGAGCAGGTAGATGTCGTCGTTGCCCGATGCTGCTGGGGGTGCCTACCTGGGCAGCCCCGGTGCCAGCGCTCCGCGGTGCCCTGCCTTCGCGGTGCCCCTTCTCCTTCACCACGTCAGGCACTGGACCCAGGAGAAGAGAGTGAGCCGCGTCGATTTTGATGCTGGTCTGGATCCAGTCACTAACCTTCCCCCCACTTGGATACTGGGCCCGAGGAGAGGCACTGAGAGGGGCTCGAAGGGCCCATCTTGCCAGGGACGCCGCCCTCCAGCCAGTCACCTGCCTTGTCCAGGGTGCGGAGCTTACGTTTGGCCCTGCGGTGGTGTCTTCAGCGAGGACAGGCATCCGGGGCTGTGCAGCGAGGGGCTCAGCTTCCCACCCGCTCCCTCCCGACTGGTGTGCTTGTAACTCAACCCTGCCTGCTGAGAGCCCTGGGGCTGCAGGAGGTCGGGCCTGCCTGGGACACTCCTGACCTGATGGAGGAGGTGGATGTGGCCATCCCCACGTGGGCCGGCCCGGTCCCACCGGGGGACATGGCTGGGCTAGATCACGGGAGCCGGAGGCGTCCATGAGAAGGCTGAGCCATAGACTGCAGAGAGACCAGTCCTGTCGCTAAAACGCACAAGAAACGCGCCAGCGGCAAATCAGGTGTCCCTAGGACGGAGGCTTTAGGGCCTTGTTTAAATTATGGCCCGTCTGTAACGAGCAGCCTGCGCGTCCTGGCGATTAAGTGCCGCTGCGTTTCTGAAGCGATGATGCGTGTTCTCGAACCGCCAACGGCTGCACAAATGCGCACGTGGCCGCCCTCCGCGGACCCCCCAGTGCCTGCCT